AGCTACCAAGGACTGGATTGATTCATCGACCGCTGCTTTGGATACACTGTTCGCTAGACTGAACAAGTCAATTGAAACTCAGAAGAACGACATCAGGAACTCTCTAGAGGACTCCAGACGACGACATGGTACGATGTATAGTCATTTTATATTTAAGATTCTCCAAGGTTGTGTGTCGCACTACTGCTTGGGGTTGATTCTCACTGAGTTGAACAGGGTGAGGGACTTGGCTGACGAAGTGTATACTCGGTGTGGGTGTACTATTTCTGTAACTCATGGATTACCTTGCGCATGCACCATTCACCGCGTTATTACAGAAGAAAGGGCGTCGTTACATGCTGATCAGGTCCATTCATTCTGGAGGACGCTTGTTATTGGTGAGCATGCAGACAATCAAACGGCCGACCGTGAACAGGAGGAGTTGGAGCAGTTCCGTTCGATGTACGACCGAGTGTCCTCCAGCCATCCTTCTATTATTCGTGACGCTACTCATGTACTTCATGACATGTTCCACCCGTCTAACTTAGATTATGAGGAACCCGAAGGAGTTGACCGTCCTCGAGGTCGACAACGGCGGAACAGGAGTGCATTTGAGTATATCCGTGGTCTTGGTCGTGGTCGTTCTCGTGGTCGGACATCGTCATCTAGTCGTAATCAATCTTCATCGTCTGTGAATATGCCCCTGAGAACTGGTACGTTTTGGTTGTTTTTATTGCACATAGTTTTAAAGTGTTACTCCTGCCTTCTTAACTGTCTATAATTAATTATATGGTGAATAGGAAGAAACGATGTTGATCAGTTTCCGTACAAGGAAAGGATACCTGCGATCATCATGTCGTACTTGGAAGGGTTGAATGATGTAATCGGAGATGGTAACTGCGGATTCCGGGTCGTGGCTGATGTTTTTCAAATGGGCGAAGACAACTACGGTTTGGTGCGTGAGTTGATGTACAGCGAAATTGCCTCTAACCGAAATGTTTATCGTCATGTGTACCAGGATGACTTGGATGACGCTCTGCGGCGTATCCGGTGGGGAGGTGGACCTTGCGGCGAAAATCATTATTTTGACGCGCCCCTAGATCTGTTTGTCGTTGCAAACATTTACAAATGCGCAGTCATGCATTTCGGCCTGGGAGTGCATAGTCAAGCTTATTATCCTTGTACCACGGTTCTCCCTTGGCGGTCGCGTGAGACTGTCACCACACCGGTCAGAGAGCTAGCTATTGCGTTTCTTGGGTCGTCATACAGACATTTCATCCGACTAGACATGTCAACCGATTTTCCGGTGCCACCGATTATACCTCGGTGGTACAACATTCGCACAGCGAGCGTGGAGGGTTGGGATGCGCTATATAATGACCGGATCCACGAATGGAACACCCTAGCTGCATTTTAGTTTTTCATGTTTACATTCTTTAGTTGTAATCTTATTTGTACGTTGCTCTTTTAATGAGAACATTAATATTTTATATTGTATTGCTTATTGCATTCTATATGTTGCATGGGTAAGTTGCGCAGATCCACGAACGGTTATATCAAAATTTAAAAACAGCACTGATAATATGTTTAAGTTGGAAGCTAAAAGAACAATCTAAAATGTTACAATTTTACAACATAATGTCCAACATAATGCTCTATAAATAAAATACAATAACCATCAGTAATCCCTCCTCGACGACGACTCCCACTGCGCAAGGGTCTGTTCCAGACTATCAACAACAGCTCTCCCTGTTGCATTCATGCTGTCCTTCTCGAGAGAGAGTTTCTGTACGTCTTGCATTATCTTTACCATCCACTGCATACAACAAAAAACAGAAGATGAAATACAATAACAACAAATAAAACTTAATTAAAAGACAACGATAAATATAATAAAAGACATACCGCTTCCGTGGCAGTAGGCGGTGACACATAATCATCATCGCTGTGGTCGAGATCAGCGATCAACCTCGGGTGCGAATACCGGTTGAACCATTCCATGTAGTAATGGTCACACATGGGAGTAACCCCAGAGGGTGGCCGCTGCAACTCCGCAGTCCATAAGCGGGCCACCATCGGAAACTGGTCCCACGTCCCGGTCATGATATCCGGCCATTCCACGACGTACTCCCTCGACGATGCAGGTCGGACCGCCTTCATCGGGCACGCCGGGGGAGGAGAGACAACTTGGACAAATCCAAGCTGGCGAAGACAACGCTGGGGCATGTACGCCTCGACGATGTCACGATACTGAATGAGTCCCGTGTACAGGGTCCTGGGTACCCTAACACTAGGGTTCGGGCCGAAAGGCATCCAGTTCACCTGTACAATAACAACATATAAAATTTAATAACATGAATATAATATGTGCAAATAATAAAATGTAGACTCTATAAATAAACGTTACCTCTAAGGGGGACAGCCTGTCCAGCAATAACCGTATCGATCGGAGGCGGTCAACGGACTTCTTCTCCGAGCGCGGACTCCACGCACAAGCACGCGGCATCCCCTCATCAATAGGAACTGGGTCACGATGTGGTCGCAATGCAGGAAAGTACTCGTATATCCAGGTCTGCAATAGAGTCAGACACCCAGTGATACCTGCCGCGTCAGCCCGACTCGCAAATCCTAGTTGGCGATACAAATACGCCAACGTAGCCGATCCCCAGGAAAACTGGCCTACACTGTCGGGGTCACACGCCTCTACGATGTCGCGTGGCCTGAGCTTGTTTCCGCCGCTCTTATCCGGAAACAAGGTACATCCGAGGAGTAGAAAAACATAAGCACTCAGCTGTGCGTCGGGCGTCCTACGTGCACTCGGGTACAAACACCGCTGCAACACGGATGCGATCTTCACACCTCCGTGTTCCCAAACACCTAGCACCTCGGTGTACAGTGCAGCCCTGTCCACCGCCAACAACTCCGCCAGCGAATCTGCCTGATCCGCATCAGCCACAGCACAAAGTCGTTTACCCTCAACACGAATCCCCAGAATGGCCTCGACGTCATGTAACATGATCGTCATCTCACCGAACGGAAGGTGGAAAGAGTTTGTATCCGGCTGCCATCGCTCAATGAAAGCCGTGATCAGCGTACTGTCAATCTTATCGTGCATGGTGGCAGGAACGTGCTTCACCCCAGTGCCCTCCAGTCGCTCGAACATCTCGCTCTCCGCCGGCCAAGCCTCATGTACGCAAAAAGCTACAAGTCTTTTCCCGGGTATGACATTTCAACAACCCCGTAACTGAAGACCTCTCCTGGTCCTCCCAAATACGGGCAGCTATGTGTCCTAGAAAGCTAGGAATCACACTCCCGTCAACAGGCCCACCGGGCACCTCACTCCTAACAACCCAAGAATCATTACCGGCCCTCGACCGTTTCCTGCTTGCCCCAGATACAGTGGACGCAGATGATGTGCCAGATCTACTAACAAACCTACCACCCCTACCCTTACGCACCTCCACCATATGCGTCTCGTACATGTCATCAACCCTCTGACTGAATGGACCGTAATCATCATACGGTCCACTGCCATCGTCCACATCCTCATCCTCATCTGCGCCCTCCTCCTGCTCCTCCTCCTGGTCACCCTCCTCAGCATCATCATCGTCATCGTCATCCTCATCCCGACGGTGGATCCGTTCTCTACGAACTGAGGCCGAAATACCACGGGATCTGACATGTCTATGCCCCGACCTCTCCACTGAATAACTTCTACTAAGAAGCTCTATATTCTTCCCCGCACCATGACGACCCTACACAGGTTTGTTAAAATATATAAACATACAAAAACTTATACGATAAATAATCATCATCGCAAATCAAATAAACTAAAAACATACAAATAATTGTAAACAAAATATAAACGTAGAAAAAATACAACGAAATTGAAAAAATTTATAAAAATAAACAACAAAATATAAAAACAATTCAAAATTATATTACAAAAAAAAAAATAAAAAAAAATTAAAAATAATTTTTTAAAAAAATAAAAAAAAAATAAAAAAAAAAAATTGGGGGGGGGCGCCCTAGCTGGACGCCCAGCCGGCGGTGGTGGCGCCAGATGCAGACGCCGCCACCAGTTGGCTGGCTCCTGGGCTGGACGCCAGCCAACTGGTGGCGGCGTCTGCATCTGGCGCCACCACCGCTGGCTGGGCGTCCAGCCAGGGCGCCCCACCGCGTTCACGGCGGTTTTTCCCTTTTTTTTTTTTTTTTTTTTTTTTTAACAAAATGTACCTTTCCTCCTTGGGACATCCTTCCCTTCGCCGCCGCCGCCACTTCCTTGCCTTGCCGCCTCGACATTGCCGTTATTTGAAATTTTTTTTTTTTTTTAGAGAGGTTGAAAGAAGATGAGCAATGAGAGTGTGAGTGATGACAGTGTGAGTGATGAGAGTGTGAGTGTTTTTTTTTTAAGGTCAAGGGCAATTTTGGCAAACCAAGTGAATTTTGTGGGCTTTATGTAGTAATTTGTGGGCGATGTTTAACAAATCCCATTGGCTTTAGGCCATCACTCTCCAAGAACTCTCTTAAATAATAACATTCTGCCTACTGTTTCCTTCTCTCCTTTTCCTATTTATACTAAGGCTAACAACTACAAACCTAATAATACTAGATTACCCATACTGCCCATACTACAATTGATAACTACTAACATACTAAACTACCCATAATACCCTCCCCGAAGTCAGTTCATTACATTTGCTTCCCACAATTTTGTACGGTTATTCTTATTCTTAAGAAAGTAGGATTGTAAGAGTGTAAGACAGACAACTGCAGTTAACATGAGAAAATAATGTCTTAACATCATTCAATAACTTTTCTGTAAGCTTTTGGAAATTATGAAGATTTGCATTTGATATTTCATCTTGTTTTTTGTTGGCAAATTGATATTCTGTTGATTCAATGTCGATATATAAGATAACGGAAAGAGAGACAATGCAAGTTCATTGTCTTTTCTAATCCAAGTCTTGATGGCTTCACGTGCATGTATATTCAGCTTTAAACGTCTCTCTGGCTTACAGGTATGGGGGTGTATATCTGGATTGTGACATTGTAGTACTCAAGCCAATATCTGGGTTTAGGAATTCAGTTGGAATGGAAGAGCTGACTCCTGGGAGTCCTCTGAATGGTGCTGTCATGGCTTTTAATAAGCACAGGTATTCTAATTGATTTACGTTGTTACATTTTGTTTGCGCTTCCATCAGTAATTCTTTGTTGGTGTTTGTTTGATCCAATTTATTTGTCACTAGGAATCGTATTACTTGCATTTCATGTTACAAGACATCCTAGTTTCTTAAGGACAAACTCAAACATTTAATTTTTCTCAATATCCATGTCAGTAAAATATTGTGGAAAATAAGAGCATGAAACTTTTTTTTTATTTTTTAAATGACTACTATATGTTTTTTTTATGTGCATATATTAAAGGGAATTGGTGATGTAAGGTACAAAATTAACATCGAAATGTGCAGGGGCCTTGTTTTATGAATAGAGAGATTTGTATATGATGCCTTAAGTTGTGCATATAGGTCATTTGTTGTAAATCTTGTAATCTCATTCCAAAGAATTATAAATCTGTGCACTATCAATCAGCAGTAAAAAAAAAAAGCCAACAACTACAAGCTTTATTTATGTCTCTGTCTCTCGCCCCTCTCCCTCTCTCTCCTTTTTATTTTAGGTTTATTTTGTACATTAGCATAAGCTTTGCTGCTCTAGACTCTTATTTCAACTATTGAAGGAAGAGACATATGGATGGACCTTGAGGATGATCTTGCAGCTTACTTTAGATAAAAATATACACTTTTCAAGTTTTTTCAGTCCAGTATACGACTACTTTCTTATATGAGTTTGGTTTCCATGTATGTTAGGAAAGGTAACAACCTATAGATATTTTTCATTGATTATTAGCTTCTTTCATAAAAAAATAAAATAATAAATAAATAAAAAGATAACTAGTTTGTCAGATTATATGATAGCAGAATGACATGTAATTTTCATCTGCATTTTTCTCTGCTTGATGTGTGCCTTGTTCTCCTCTTCTTCCTTCATCTGCTCTTTAGCTAATGACCCTAATTCCCCTGTTCTAGTATTTACTTTTTTTTTTTTTTCCATGTCTCAATCTCTCTCACTTACATTTTGAATTAATTAAGTTTGGTGAGACCTACCTGGAGACAACAGACATATTTATGGCTATGCTGTTGGAACAACTAACACCATTCAATTGATTTTTTGCAGATTTCTTATTTATAATGTCACTATGTCAGTATGCAGAAAACTGGAAAAGTGCTAATAAGGATGTCATTCCTGTTTTTTCAAAGACAAAAAACTTAATTATTGAAGTAGAATAAGGTCTTAGGAGAAAAGTTTGGGTGTGACAAGTATATTGTGAATATCAGTAACAAGTCACTAGTCAAAATTTTGTAACAACATAAACAAAGACCCGGTATGGCTAACTTTCAATTTTTTGTGTACTGTGATGCTTTAACATGCAGCAACCTATGGTCATCTTTTATTACTCTGTCCCTATTTTAGCAGATTTGTTGACACCTTTCGATCTCTCTCTGAGTAGTTTTACCTCTTCTTTTGATAGTGAGGTTAAGGATGTATCTTTTGTGATTTTGTCTACAGTATCAGCTGAAAGGAACTGGTGAATTCTCCATAGTTATGGTCATCCTTCTACATTATTCCAAGATATAGAGTGGGGAGTTTTTTTTAAAATTGTACCTATTGGGGTAATAATATAAAGGGCGTAATAGGAGACAATATATGTGGAATGGAGATTGGTAGAGGTGGTGGTAGAGAGTTAAAAAGTATTGCTAGTGCAAGGAACAGAGGAGGGATTGATGTATAATTGGCATCATTTCATCCTCCTAGGTATCATCACCCCCAAAATTATGTTAATAATTCATGTGAGACCAAATATCTTTTGTCGTGCATGTGCAGCCATGATGGTCTTGCCGTTGCCCTGATGACTGTATTGCCTAAAATACCTGATTTTTCTGATGAACTTGGAGCAATCACCTATTTCTAATTTACTTTTGTTGGAACACACCTTCCCCCCCTCGAAATTTCTTTGTTTAATCTGTATCTTGTTTGCTTGCAGTTTATTTATCAGGCAGTGCATGTTGGAGTTCTTTTCCTCATATGATGACACCTTGTTGAGATGGAATGGTGCTGATTTATTAACTAGAGTGGCTGGAAATTTTTCTCTCAAAGCAGATAATTTGAAGAAAAAGCAGATGCTGCAAGTGCAGTTAGCATCGAACTTCTTTCCTATTAGTTCACATGATATTCAGAGGTATATCACAAACTTAAACTTCTCATAATAGTTTTCGCATTATATCTAATTTTCATTTTTACAATATACTCAAGTTGGTTATTTGTTGAGAATTAAGGCAGGCTTGCAGGAAGAACCCGTAAATGATTGTTTTCATGTATACAATCTAGCATTAGAAACCTACATTTCAAGAAAAAATCAATTTTAATTTTAATGTACACAATGAAAAATATTAAAAGTATGTTAGTAGGTAATTCTCTCAAGACCTAACCTTAGCTTGTACTTCGTACGATTTATATAAAAGTAAATTTTATCTACAAAAGTCAGAAATATTAAAGTTGGAAAACTTACGAGTTGTATGTCTCTGCCTTGTAACCAGATGATTAGTTCCTTTTGCTTCTTTTAAAGCATGATGGATCTTAAGCATGATGTAACTTATGACATTGTAGTAAATCACTGACACTAGCTTTATCAACTTATAACCTAAGCCAAGAAGCACACGCTAATCCATAATTAAGGAATGTCACAAATCTTATAAGACCCCCTTTTTTTTTTTTTTTTTTTTTTTTTTTTTTTTTTTTTTTTTGTGCTCAAATCTTTAATGGTTTTGTATTTCAGGTTGTGTAAGTAACTTGATGTGTAACACAAACTTTCTTAAAATAAAAGCTAAGCTTCAAAATTCAAACACCAAGATTACAACAATTTTATGATTGGTATCAAACAGGGTTCATCTCAAAGCATTATAAAAACACCTAGTTGATAATTACTATCAACGACTAAAATTTATTGATGTAGGAAAGGTTTGTTAGGGCACAATAGAGAGAATCTCAATTTCATATATTCTTTAAAAGTTATTTATGTCCTCAAACAAATTTGCTATTTATAAGGGATCCATAAACAAAATTAGAACCCAAATGATGATTACTAAAGCTGAAGGCTCAAATATTAATTTAGGGAAATTTAATCATAAAGAAGATATTGGGCTACATATTTGCTTCGTGGTCCGTGGATTTAACATCCCGGATGTGGTTTTCTACACAACCTAACGGTGGTAATATTGTGCCCATGGAAGATGGCTCAAAAGTTCTTGCTATGCTGGGAAGGAACCGTGTGACTATGCCGGTGTTGTGGCTGCCAGCTGGACAATTTTCACATCTTAACATATATGTAGTAATTATTACTCCCTCCGTTTTTAAATACTTGCTCCATTTCTCTATACACGGAGTTTTAGGAGAAATTGGAGAAAATAATAAAATATGGAGGTGGTGGGGTAGTTGGGAGAATAAAAAATTGTAAAAAGCAAAAGTAATGGAAGAATTGGAGGAGAGAGTATTATGTTGGGTCCACTAGGTGTGAAAAATGAATTAAATATTATAAAAACTTTTCAAAAATGGAAATGGAGCAAGTATTTAAAAACGGCCGGAAATGGAAAGTGGAGCAAGTATTTAAAAACGGAGGGAATATTAGTTGTGCCAAGTTTGTTCATGCCATTTTTTGTTTTTTTTTTGGGTTTGTCAAGCCATGCCATTCAAAATCTTTTTTTTTTTTTCAGACAGATGGAGAAAGGAGGTTAGTCCTCCAAATTAACCATACTTCCTACAATGGGTAGCTAAGTGATGAGCTTTAGCCACCATACTTCTATGTACCTTAATACATATGACATACTGTCTTTTTAGCGCCTCTTGCCGAATATCTTTAACCATTTGTGCTGAATCTGTTTTAATTAAAAGATTTTCAGCCTCTACATTTGAATGTTGCATAGCTAATCCCTCTGCCTGAGTTGGGGTTGAAGCAAAGACTCTTTTGCTCCCTTGAATGTGCTGCAGGTTGAGATTTTCTGTTGTCCAAGCAATTGCTGCTCTCCAACTATCTCCACCTTTTCTCTTCTCTTCTTTCCAAGCTGCATCCACACACATCGAGATACAGGAGGGTGTTATAGCAGTTCCAACTTTCCATATCACTGGGAGTCTTCTAAATCCCTGAGATAATTGAGTTGCTGCTTTTCTGCTTTGTTTCTTGAGTTGAATTTTCTCCCAGCTATTCGCGTGCATCTGTGCCAAGTCTAAGATAGCTTTTGGATTGACACTCACGCCCTTGAAATGACATCGTTTCTATGTAACCAAATTGCCCATAGGATCGCCACAAAAGTTGTTAAAGACTTTGTGTCACCCTGAAGACATGTCATACAGTAATATATGAAATTAGTAGTCCATTCCCTGCCAGACAGAAACATCGGGTTAGATGAGTTGATTCCAAGAGGTGAAGAAGCCCACGCTCTCCTTGAAATCTCACAAAATCGAAACAAATTATTCATGCTTTCTGGCTCCTAAAAGAGAACACATTGTCCTTCCAAGAAAATTCTCTCTTTTCCAGGTTATCTTTAGTGGGGATAATATTCTGAGTAATTCTCCAGATAAACATTAACATTTTCCACTTTGGTGGAATATTTGCCTTCCACCACAACTTCCAGAATGTTGTATGTTTTGGGCTCCATGTTGACACTTTTGAACTTGTTGTAGCCACCCAATAACCCGATCTAAAGCTAAATTCCCCTTTCCTATGTGCAATCCATCTAAACTCATCTTTGCACTCCTTAGTAGGGATGTGGATTGATAGAATGTTTTCCTCAAAAATTTTCCAGATTAGATTGGCGTTCCATCTTCTTTCTGAAGTCATAAGATCACTGACCTTTTCTATTTGTCCCTCCATGGACTGATTATGTACCAAGATTCTATCTTTCTTCACCCAAATGTCCTGATATGACCTAGTTTCTTTTCCATCTCCAATTCTTCTCCCAACTCCACCGATTTATCCTAGTTTCTTTTCCATTCAAAATCTTGAGGGATTGAATCAGATTTATCCGATCATTGATTTTTTTATTTTTTTTACAAGAAGAAAAGGGGTTTCATTAATAAAATATAGCCAAACGACATTTAATTATAATTCCTAAGAACTAAAAAATTCCAACACAAATACACACCTTAAAACTACATACATCATAGATTTGATTATCAATTGCCTAAATAAAAAAACATTATTTGAAGCAATACAATCTGTGCATTCACACTGATTCTGCTTGAAATCCACTGATTCGTAGTCGTTTGAGTGAAAATACTCACGTGGTCCATCGTATTCTTATAGAGATTATGAAATCCTAGAAACTCAATTCCAGCCATAAAAAGAAAATAAAATAAACATAAAAATCATCATCTTTAGGATGAGATTAAAAGTAATAAAAAGGTCCTTTAAAAAACAATTGAAAAAACCAACTAATGGAGGCCAGGAAGGGAACAAAAAAAACCCTTCTAAGGAGAAAACCTAGAGGGAACTCGACAGGTATATTAGCGTCAGATCATTGATTCTTTATATTTATCTTCAACATCCCATTTCATTACACTCTTATGCAGCTAAGCTATGCTAATGCTAATACTTTTAGGATGTTGTTACTTCCAATGGCGGATCCACAGTGGGTTCAAAGTGGATCCATTGAACCCACTGAATTTTCTAAAAAAAAAGTTTTTTTTGAAATATATACGAGTATATATATATATATATATATATATATATATATATATATATATATATATATAAAATAATAAAAAAGTTGTAATTCGGAATTCGAAAATATCGATTAAAATCTAATTTATACTTTCTACATTCTTTGTTGATTGCAACGTTTATAATTTTACAATATTTATGCATACAATCCTTTTTTTTTTTTTTTTTTTTTTTTTTTTTTTTGTGATTCATACGTTGGAAAAAAATGTACTATCTCCGAATTTTTTTAGTTGACACGTATTCCTTTTTAGGAAGTTTATTTTAGTTGACACGTTTCATTTTGGAGTAACTTTTTTACCTTGTATTTACAATCTATCCCACTCGCTTTTTCATTCTCTCTAACTCTCTCATCTCCTTAATATATGTGCCTAAGTCAAACCTATCAACTAAATAGAAACGGATGAAACATATAAATAACATAATCAAGTGGGATATATACTCAGATTCATCTCAAAAAATATTTTTATGATATCAACTATTTAAAATTTACGAAATTGATCATAACATATTTAGGTTATAGAATGTGCATTGGTAAACTTGAAATAATCAACGTTGCATTTAAACAAACGGAGAACCTGGCTATTGGTTACACTTAGTGTTTAGGGTAATTTTACCCTGCCACGTGGCCCAATCAGAAGGTGACACGTGTCAGCCCCAGATTGGTCTAAAATGGACCAATCCCTGCTCGACACGTGTCATTCCCTAAATCAAGGAAAAAGGCGGCTTTCAGGCCCAAATCCCGAGAATGCCGCCAAACGGCGCAACCCACCAATGATTAGGGTTCAGTAACCTAACCAGGGGCACAATTCCCAAAGACCCTATAAATAGGGAGATGTCCCTCATTTTGAGGGCACGTTTTTGATCATTTATTGCACACTTACTCTTTGATAGAGATATTATGAGCTTGGAATCCGAGCAGATCCATACCTAAATTTCCGCACCTTTTTTCTCCCTTCAAGTTTCTAACTTGTGCGTCGGAGGCGGAGCACCACCCAACTGGTGTCTTCGTTTGTTTTGCAGGTACAGCTCACCCCGGATCAGTCTTCGTGTTGTAACTCTCCCGAGGGACAAAAACACCCAAAACATTTGGCGCCGTCTGTGGGGAGAGTACCCCGAAGATGGTTCAAGAGTTTGCACCCCCTAACCATCTGGGCGAAGACCCAGAAGTCTTTACAGACCATGAGGAGGATGAGGATCCTCAGGTCGAAACCTCCACAGCCGAGGACGGCTCTCTCAGAGTCAAGCGAATCCGGCCCAGAGAGACTCTGGAGCGAGGCGCCTCCCAGGCGGGTCCGAGCAGACCCACTGGGCAGCCGGAAGGGGCAACCCAAACGGCAGCTGGATCAGCCCCTGTCACCCGAGACGAACTCATGAGGTTCATGACGAGTTTCAAGGGTGAAATTACAGAGCTGATCACCAAAAGCAGGGCTGGCCCAAGTAAAGGTCAGTCGGCGAAGAAGACT